AATTTAAATTCCTCACTTTCTTAATCTTCAAACTCGTAATTTATATTTTACAAGGTACTAATGCAGGGAGACATTGTTCATATCATACATGTAATGCAAATGACACCATTAAGTTCTCGAAAAATAGCACAATAATCCCATAACAATAAAATGGATACGTGCATGCAAATTTATATCATCCATTTTTAAATTAATTATGGGAATTTCAGGGATTTCTGGACGAACAGTTTATTCAGTTGGAGGAGTTGCAAGATGACTCTAACCCAAATTTTGTGGAGGAAATTGCTACGTCGTACTACCGAGATTCATATAGATCACTCCAAGCCATAGAGCTGGCACTGTGAGTCAAATTATAATGTTTACTTCTAAAAAAAAATCAATGACAATACATATATATTGGTTGATTATATATGTCAGCGACATATAGTAATGTATATATAGCATATATATGCAGAGAGAAGACCCCTCGTGATTTTAGTAAGTTGGACAGCTACATGCATCAGTTCAAGGGAAGTAGCTCAAGGTAAAAAATAAAAACAAAACATCCTCATTTTGTTATTATTTTAAGAGATATTATAAAGGAATCTGTAAGTATATTCTGTGTTGGCTTTTGAGATGACAAGATTTAATCCCGACTAAACATATTTCTCTTCATTGGTGCAGCATCGGAGCCAAAAAAGTAAAAGCTGAGTGCCAACAGTTTAGGGAATATTGTAACGCAGGAAATGGAGAAGGGTACGTACACAATTTTAGCATCAATCACTGAAAAACTCTTATTATAATTATATTCTCTTAACTCGAATTCGAATCATCTCTCTTTATATTCGTACAAAATATATAATAAATTGATAATATGGAGAATAAATTTTAAAAAGGGGAAAAATGTGTAGATAAAATTGGTAGGCCACTTAAAAGTTTTGATGGTAAATCCAGATGCATGAGGACTTTCCAAGCATTGAAGAAAGAGCATGCAACACTAAAGAAGAGGCTTGAGGCTTATTTTCAGGTAAACTCTCCAAATTACACCAGTGTGTGTGTATATATATATATATTAAAATGTGTTTTGATTTTTTGTAATTTTTTTTTTCTTTCAGATGGCAAGGCAAGCTGGGCCTATAGAGGCAGCATGTCGCCCCAAGTGAAGAGAAAATTATTAACAGCCAGAGAGAGAGGCAGAGGCTACAATTAATATGAGTGGTCGGTGGATTTTGTACCATGTATGTGCACCAACCTCCGTTAGATTAATGAAGGTGTATTAGGAGACTTAATTAGGTGGTTTTGGATTCTAATATCCATGTAAGCTATATTATCTGTTCAATGAAAATGCTAAGCAATTCAGTTTTTTTTCTTCATGATTATCCTGTTTCTTGCCAGAATATGAAATGGGCTTTATTATATACAATGAGAATGCTTCAGAATTTCTGAGGTTGGATCAACTCACCCTTGGCTTGAGGCCCAAATCAATGCCCACTAAATTTGTATCACTCTTACCAGATAACTAGTTATTTTCTAATATTTGGTTGAGAGAGAGAGAGAGAGAAATTTAAGGATTGTCCCGTAACGTTTTACAATTTTCAAGATTTGAGAATGTGTTTGGTAGTTTAAATCGAGAACAATTTTCTACGAGCTAAAAACAGTAAAATCATTTTTGATACCCGTATTTGAAAATGGGAAAGGATTGTATGCCCCTGATGATTTTGGGAAAGGATTGTCATACCAAAAGATGGGATGTATGCTGAAATTGTTAACGGAAAAATTGATTCCAATTTTGGGAAACTTGATAATTGTCTCTTGTAATTATGAGGTTACGACCTCTAGTCAGATGGCTTAGGTGAGATAGAGAAAGGGTAAGCCGGAATTAACATTTTCATACCAAAACTACCCTTACGTTGTTTTCTCATAAATACATAAATGCCTTTTACCTAGTGACTAGTGCAACACTATCTCGTTTGTTAAATATCTCCTACAACAAAAAATTTAATTATTTAATTTCTAAAGATCTTTTTTTTTCTTTTTCTTTTGCTAGAGAAGGAAAATAAATATATTGTGTAAAAATTGTTTTCATTTAGAATATAGTGTAAACAAGCAATTAGAAATATGGAAAAAATTGCAAAATATTGTAGTAGGTTTTTCATTGCAAAAATAATTGTTGGAACTTAAAATATTTCAATAATAAGTAGTTGAATAAAAATATTTAGGCCATTTAGTAATCAAATTGATTATTATGATTTCTTTTTATTTCAATTTTTTCTCATGATGATTCCGGAGCTAAATATGACAATTCAATGTTCTTTCGATAGACTTGAGACAGGATGAAGGTCAATATATTTAAGGCAATATGTGTGACCCAAGTGTAAGTTTAGGTACATAATTATCCAATTATGATTGTAAACTAGATATTCTACTGTTGGCGAATATGAGACGCACTGTAATTCTCAATGAACTTGTCGCACTATACGTGTCTTGTGTCTGAATCTTTGTACATATGGTAACGGGATCATTTACTCTTGGCGGGAACAAGGCACCATGGCCAAATTTGGGAACAGAAGTATCCTCTTATTATAGTAAACAAGATCATCTTTGATATATCATAATTTAAAAGTTCGTTGAAGTTCTTCCTTTATTTTAGTTAGAAAGAAAAAAAGCATATCACATGCTTCAAATACATAGTTGAAGTATAATTTTGGATCAACCTCTTAGAGCACCTCCACCCCAAAGGGCAAGGGCAAGGCAAGGTTTGACACTATTCATGTTAATATCGTCAGCCTTGCATTTTTTGGTTCCACCCCAAATGGCAAAGGCAAGGGCAATTACTATTTATTTTAATTTATTTTATATTTTTTATACTTAAACCATTAATTTTGGCATGAGAAGTGAAAAATAGGACTAGGTATTTATATATAAAAATATTCTGAAAATTTTGGTTTTTTTTTTTCAAATTTTTTTAATTGCTGATGTCATCAATGACGTAAGTAAACCCATGCAATATTTGCCTTTGGGCCTGCCCAGGCTTGTGGCCCCCATCAACTGCCTGGTCTTGCCTTTGGGCGCTAGAGCCAAAAGCTGGGCCTAGGCCCCCTGCTGCCCGGGCAAACCAACAACGCTGGAAGTGCTCTTAGGGAAGGAACAACATAATACAATTCAGCTTAAGTTTTCTTTTGTATCTAGGAAGATAAAGTAGGTTTACTAAGATAAGGCAAATACCATAAAACTTTGGGTAAAAAGGAAAGAAAAAGGACATATATAAATTTGTAAGAACCATATATGAAGCTAAGCCAATCATGAAATTGATCAAAGATGAAGGAGTCCTTTGGCCCCAATTTCTCTATCTTCTAGCTAATTTGTTGACATTTTGACACTAACTTAACTCTAATTTAACGCTGATAAGTAAAAAAATAAAAATAAAAAACAGAAAATTTTAAAAAAGAAACAAAGAGGCCAGTAATCACAACCCTCGATGATAGTCAAAATATAAAAACCGAAAATTTAAAATTAAAGAAAATAAAATCTCTCTCTTTTCTGTGAATTTTTTTTCGATGCGAGTGAAAATTGCAGAAACCCCCTACTGACATTATCAAAGCATGAGCCTCGTCTCTAGGGGTGGGCATCGAGACCGAAAAATGGGAACATTGAGCTGCATCGGATGGAAAAAAGGGGAAAAAATCGTGTTGACTAAAAAGTCAACAAACCGGCACCGAACCAGACCAAACCGGTTCAAACCAATTATAATACGAGTTTCACACTTTACAAAACTAGACCAAACTAGACTAGACCGACTACATATTTTTAAAATTATTTAAGTCCAATGCTAAATTTCTAATCCCATTACTAATATTTCCCCAAGCCCAACTTCAAAGCATATTTCTTTTCAAGGCTCAATCATCTCTCTTTGCATGAAATTGAATCATTTGTGAATTTTGAAGCCCAAAAAGTAAAATTTTAGTTGGAATTTTTAAATAAAAAAATAATTTGAAAATGAAATAAAATAATATCCAGTCCGAAACTGAAAAAATAAAAAATACACCAAAACAGATTTAAATCAAACCAACAAGTTTCATAAATTTTTTCACTAAAATCGGACCGAATTGTATTGTTTAAATAGTATCGATTCCGATTCCGATTTCGATGTGAGGTGAAAACTGAACTGGATCAAATCGCACTCACCCCTACTCGTCTCATCTCAAATTAGGTCCGTGATTCACTCGATTTTTGCTTATTTCTTGTTTAATTAATACCAAACACGGAAGATTCATGCTTGATTTCACCTAATCATCTTTGATTTTAAACTTTTTGCGCATGTTTTCATGACTTGGAATTATAGGGCTTCGCAATCTTATGTCTTGTTATGATTCTGCAGCTATTCAAAATATGTAATTGCATATATAGCTTATAATTGGGAGTTTTTGGTGAGGAGGGGAGGTGGATTGTCGTCGAGGATTTTTTGAGCAGGTGGGTTGGCGTTGCTGTGCTCTTTGTTTCTTTTTCTAATTTTTTTTATTTTTATTTTTTTAACTTAACAGTGTTAAATTAGAGTTAAGTTATTGTCCAGGTGTCAACAGATTAGGTAGGGGACAGAGAAATTGGGGCCAGAGGATTCGAACTCGAGCTGCTCACCAAACACTCCGTGTGCCAGGAACAAGCGTCTCCTTCCCTCCGATCTGTCTCTCCGGTCACTCGCTTAGGGTTTTGAGCTAAAGCTGGGCTTTTATCTCTCTTCTAGGGTTCACATTCAAATCTGGTTTCAGCTATGCAGACTGCTTCATTTAATTCAAATTTTCTATCTTCCAGGTTCTGGTATTTATTTTGTTATGATTCCGCAGCTATTCAAAATATGTATTGCATATATAGCTTATAATTGGGAGTATTTGGCTGTTTAGAGATTTGAGGCCATAAAGAAAAAATTGCTGCTTTAGGGGTTTTATCAGTTCGTAGAGGCAATTTGAAAGGGACTGTTTCTGGTTGTGGTTGATTGTTTGGTGTGCTTGAGAATCATCATAGCTATGGCTTCATACAGGCCTTTCCCGCCCCAATCGTCATTCGGGCCGCCGCCGAATCAAAACCCTCTTACACCAACACCACCGCCACCTCCTTCACAGAGAGGCAATCAATATAATCAGAATTGGGGATATAATGCTAGTAGTGGTGGTGGTGGTGGTGGTGATGGGGCTGTGCCTGCAGCTTCTTCTTCGTATCCTCAAAACTACAATTACAATCATGGTAATTACGGCCCTCCAAGAACTCAACACCCTCACCCACCACCACAATACAATTATCCACCACCGCCTCCGCCGCCCGAGTCTTCATACCCACCACCTCCGCCCCCTCAAGCTCCTCCAGTGGCACAAAATAAAATGCCTTTGCAGCCTCCACAAGCCCCCATGTACTACCAGAATTCTCAGTATTCACAATATAGTCACCAGCCAATCCAGCCTTTACACCAGCCGCCACCTCCACCCCCACCACCTTTTTCCCCGAGTTCCTCTGTCCCACCACCACCCCCACCCCCGGGTTCACCGCCACCGCCCCCTCCACAAAGTAAGGATGGTGGGGTAGATAGAGGATCCCATGAAAAAGGGGTTTCCAGGGAGGTGTCGGTGTCGGGGAGGCGTGAACATGGGCATTTGAATCATGGGGTTGCTCAAAAACAGCATAAGCCCCCTGTTCCTTCAATGCCAGTGAAGAAAGCAAATGGACCTCCAGGGAGGGTGGAGACAGAGGAAGAGAGGAGATTCAGAAAGAAGAGGGAGTTTGAGAAGCAAAGGCAAGAAGAGAAGCATAGGCAGCAGCTGAAGGATTCCCAAAATTCAGTTTTGCAAAAGACACAGATGTTGTCTTCTGGGAAAGGACATGGGTCGATTGCAGGGTCGCGAATGGGGGAAAGGAGGGCTACTCCATTCTTGAGCAGCGAAAGGACTGAAAATAGGCTGAAGAAGCCAACCACATTTGTATGCAAGTTGAAGTGAGTATGTTAACAATGACTTACCTTTGTTTGAAGAACACATTTTGCTCTGCTTTAATTGAAATTAATCTTTTCCTGTTTTGATGGAATCTGACTACATGATATATCAATAACAGTTTTTTTATATGTTTTTTTTATTAATTCCCTTACAGCTTAAGTTTAACTTGTACTTTCTAGAGTTCGTCATGTTTATTAGAACACAATGATCCAATTTTAGCAATACACAATGTTTTGAACTCGACTAAAGCTACTGGTGGTACGCTGAACCTAATAATAGTTGGATAAGACTCCAAACTTTTTTTATTCAGCCTTTTATTTGTTTATCGTATCGTGAAACACCATTTGAGATGAATCTTATATATTCTGTGTGGCTAACCAATGCTCTTTTAGTTCAGGCCAAAACAGAACAATGTAAATTTAGTTAAAAATAGTGTGTGTTCTTCTCTCTGCTTGTCAAGTACTTTCATTGTTTACTCCAGTAATGACTCCAATCTAACTTGTATGCCCTTTGAAGATTTCGGAATGAACTTCCAGATCCAAGTGCACAGCCAAAGCTTATGTCTTTGAAGAAAGACAAAGATCAGTAAGTGATCTCTTTTGTTGCTCAACCTTTTGAACATTTGTACATTTAGGCTTATATGTGTGTGCAATGCATGTTTTTTGTGCATGGACCTTTGTAACCTTTTTGAGGTTGTAAGGATGAGTAATTGGCATCATATGGTTGCAAGCAATCATCAGGGTGGTTTTCAGATGGAGGAATTAATCGGAGCAAGTAGAAAATTGTTTAGGAAAGAAGATGAATTTCTACTGCACTTATATGGAAGATGCAGTTAATGGAGATAATTTTGTGATACTATTATCTACAAATTAGGGGGTGGAGGGGGGTTATTTCATTAACTGTGCAAAAGGGGAAGAAGCTTAAGAGGAATGAAAAGAATGGAAACGAACAAGGGAAGAACGATTTACTGATGACCCACATAGCGTTTATCCTATGGGGTATATGGAAGACTAGAAATGAACTTTGTTAGTCTGGTGAAGCAGCAAACCTATCTGTATTTATGGACTGGATACAGCCTGAAACTGCATGCATCAAGTTGGGCGATCAAGAAAATATGAACAAGCTGAGCAGGTTCACATGTCGTTCTTGATGTAGAAGATAATATCCAGAAAATGTTGGTGTGGTGGTGGACATTGACTTTCATAGGTCAGTGTGTATTTTTTTTTTTTTTTTTTTTTTTTGTTTGGTGGTGGGGGAGAGGAGCGGAGAGAGGATAGTCCGGGATGAGTTTTTATCATGCTTTAGCACTCATTACTATGGCATAAATTTGATTGAGAGTCTGGAACTCAGCATACATGTTTGGTTTTTGTTGAAGCTCGCACTATGGAAATCAAATCTGATTGTTGAAATAATGGCTTTATGACACATGATCAGGAGTGGAATTATTATCCCTTGTTATCTTATTATCAAATTCCAAAATCAAATCAATTATTATTTTGTGGTAACTTTTGCAATCTTCCCTCCCTCTCCCAGATATACAAAATACACAATAACATCGTTGGAGAAAACATACAAGCCCAAGCTTTTTGTTGAGCCAGATCTTGGGATACCTCTTGACCTGCTTGACCTCAGTGTATACAAGTATCATTACTCTACAGCCCTAACCTTTTTAAGACGTCAGTAGTTTTTATTGCATGACAATACTGAATATCTGTTTTTTTTTCCTGGTTCAATCAGTCCTCCAAGTGTTAGATCACCCCTTGCTTTGGAAGATGAGGAATTATTGCGGGATGACGTAGCAGCAACCCCTGTGAAAAATAATGGCATCAGAAGAAAAGAGCGGCCTACCGATAAAGGGGTTGCATGGCTTGTTAAAACACAATATATATCTCCTCTTAGCATGGACTCTGCGAGACAGGTAGTCGATTAATGCTCCATTTTAGAAGAGCAGTCTTTGTTGAAATATACTGGTGAGCTATGTTATAAGTACGTGCATTGGCATCTGCAGTCTTTAACTGAAAAACAAGCAAAAGAACTGCGGGAAATGAAGGGAGGTCGCAACATTTTGGACAACCTTAATGACAGGTTTGCTCTTTGCCTACCTACCTTTGTGATTGTAAAACCAATGTCCATTACTCATGTCAATTAATTGTCGTGAATCATTTTTCAGGGAAAGACAAATCAAGGAAATTGAGGCATCATTTGAGGCCTGCAAGTCACGCCCTGTTCATGCAACCAATAAGAATTTATACCCTGTTGAGGTTCTACCTCTGTTGCCCGATTTTGAGCGGTATGGAGTATCTGATTTTCTGTTTAAATAAGAAAAACATTTATTACTTTAGTCTTTCATACACAAGCCCGTTATTTGCTGATCTTAATTAGTAAATTTATTATACGTAGTGCCAATGGCTTGTGGTTGAAGTCGAGCTTGAGCTCTCATGAAAAGCTTGTTATTTCAGAGTCCAGACATTTTGAAATCAAAATCATTTATATTTATGCATGAGCATGCATGCATGCAGATTATAGATATTTGTCAATGATGACCAATTAGGCTGGTGGCTGGTTAATTGAAAACCTAAAATATTTATTTATGGCAATCATTTTGCATTCTAGAATATTCACACATTAACTTGGGGCTGTTATTGATGATGCTTTTGTAACAGGTATGAAGACCAATTTGTCCTTGCAGCATTTGATGGTGCTCCTACTGCTGATTCAGAAATCTACAGCAAATTGGACCAGTCCGGTCATGACGCTTATGAATCAAGAGTGAGTTGGGATGGATGCAACCAGTTCTGGTCATAAATTTAGATTCTTTTTTATTTTTTTGGGTAAAATAAAATCAGATTCTCAAACCTTCAATTTAAAGAAAATCTTCATTTTCTAGGATTCTGCAGTCTGCATCACATTATAATAACAAGTGAAAGCCCCAAAACAGTGAACTGGAATTGAATCCAAAAGACTAATAGACGACCATCAAAATTGCATGAATTGATTTAGGTGAAAGGTTTGGAAAACAAACAAAAGAGCTAAAATAATCTGTATCCACCTGTACCCATAATTGAAGCAGTATTCCTTCATTATCTGTTAGTGTGTGTTAGATGGTGCGTATTCATTTAGAGGGAAATAATTTAAGAGTTGCCTTTATCCCTTGATTACTTGAATTTTACCTGAAGTGTGTGTTGAATTGTTGCAATTTACTAACCAAGTTTTCATTTGGGTTGGGAAAATAATTTAAAGAATTGCTTTTGTTTTAGGTAATCATGTCATCCCACAACATAATATCCCTTTGTTTACATGAAGTTGAACCTTTCTTATCTATGTTCTTTATGTTAATTTTTCCTGGCCGTTCTACTCTCAAATTGAATGTATCTGTAGATTGAGCGGCTCTTTTGCCCTTTACTTATAGTTTATCCGAATCCACCTTTCATGTGAATTGGCAAAAAGACACTGCCAATAATGCTACTCCTTTCTTTCTACTATCTGTTCATATCCAAATATCGTTTTTTCTTTTTCTTTATTTTTTCAGTCAGACAACCTGGCTTTGGAAGAAAAATATTGAGTTACAGTAAATATTTTGTGCAAAAGATGCGTTGGCCTGACACAGAAGTTTTAATATGTCATGGATTTTTAGACTCTCATTTACATCAAACTTAGTCTGCGTCTTGGACATTGTTGTACTTGAATATTTTCATATTTTGTCATTATCCTATTAAGTGGCAACTGGTGCATTATTGTCTCATCCATCATCATCTACTACAGGCCATTATGAAAAGTTATAAGGTAACAGGCGCAGATCCAGGTAATCCGGAGAAATTTTTGGCTTACATGGTCCCTTCTCCAAATGAGGTAGACATGCTTGTTTTGACTTCTAAATCTGAAGAATATTAGCATTAACAGTTCATAGGCTGATCTCATGGCTCATATATTATTTATTTCAATGGTGGCAGCTATCAAAAGATCCATATGATGAATCTGAAGATGTTTCTTATTCTTGGGTTCGCGAGTATCATTACGATGTATGTACCATCCCCATGGTTTTGAGAAGTTATTAAGTTAGCTTTTGATTGCATATTTTAAGATGTTCCTTTTGATGTCTCAACAGGTAAGAGGTGATGATGTGCATGATCCCACAACATACCTTGTTTCATTTGATGAAGAAGAAGCACGCTATGCGGTATCCCCTTGAATTAATATTTTCATCTTTATTACGTGTGCATTTATTATTTGCTCTGCTTCTTTTTTTTGGTTTTGTTTTGAGGAACAATTCATCAAGATTATCCTTCTTTATAAATTTTTCCATTCGCAATGCAGCCCCTTCCCACAAAGCTTGTCTTAAGAAAAAAGAGGTCCAAAGAGGGAAAAACTAGCGATGAGGTTGAACATTTTCCCGCACCTTCAAGAGTGACCGTCAGGCAGAGATCAACTGTTGCCGCAATTGAACTAAAGGATTCAGGGGTACGGAAATAAGCTATTTGTTGAAACTTAAATTCCTTTGGTATCCGGTTTTAGTCATCAAATGATTTGAATAATTGCATATACACATAATTGGCTTGCTGCTTTCAGGATTATTCAAGGGGATCTGTGTCAAATTTGAAAACAAGACGCTTTGATGTTGAGGATACCCTTGAAAGACCACGGAAGATTGCACGACATCAAGATATTGATGAATATAGTGGTGCTGAAGATGATTTCTCTGATTAATTTATCTGTTGATGTAAATGTCGCTGACTGTCATGAAGGCTTGTAGACTCGTGTCAACTAATTTGGGATTATTCACAAACTGCGATCGGATGCTGCTTTGATGTAAAGGCGAGTGTGAACTAATTTGGCCGCTTCTTGTTGGGATGTCCATTCGAACCTCAAATATCTACCTGTATCTTTAGCCAGAAAACATTTTTCCTTAGATACCATATAAGGGTAAGATGAAATAGAAACCCTGTAAAGAAGTTAGACATGTTAGAATGTCTAAAATAACAGCAATAGTTTTCTACTTGCAACGTCAGTTTGTGAATATTGATTTTGTTATGAATATATTCCATTCTTTACGGTTAGTTTTCTACCGCCCTATCAATTTGTGAATTGTCAGAATCATTGCACATTCTGAAAATGTCAATGAGCATAATCAGTCCATCTTGCGTTGCATGGTATAAAATAACAGCAAAATTGACAATTCTTGACACAACAGGAGGGCACGGTTGAGTGATGAACCCAAAAATGAGAAAAATCTTGATTTGGATTTATTAATTTTGAACCCGAAAATGAGAGCTTATTAACACAAATAATAAACAAGTTGAGTTAGTGATGGTTTTGATATTGTAGTTTCTTGTGTTGGGCCTTTCACCCCCCTTGTTTACCAAAAACAAAAACAAAAAAACGAATTGGGTTATTTTTCAACACTTTCGACATGAAAAAGGAAGAAAATTGAAGGCTATTTCTTGGTCCAAAGTAAGGTGGAACACCCATTTGTTGATAGAAATGGTCATGATTTCAGCAAATGAGAGAATCAATGTAGCATCTGAGGAAGGATGAGAAGTAAATAGATTTAAAAAATAATAAAATAATAAAATAATAAAAAGTGAGACAGAGTAAGGAATCCACAAAACATTATAGACCTTTTAGCTGCTATGTAGTTAAATGCTCGTCAATGCTAAAATAATAAGGGAAAGAAAACTACAGAGAACCCACAGGTGTAGTGGTTTGGAGAAATTGATACCCATAAGAAATGTCCTGAGTTCTAATCTTAGCATCCATTAGTGTATGAGTTTACTACACTTGTATCACCCCTTTTAATAGGAAAAGTCTTCCCAAAAAAAAAGAAAAAAAGAAAAAAGAGAGAGAGAAAACTGAGGAATTTGTCTCACTCCCAAATGACAGCACATCTTTAGTGCCCCTGCTATATTAAACAATGTAAAGCATTCTACAGAAAACTATGTTGCCTTGTTCAGATAATCACCTAGCTACCAATAGAATTACATCATGTATTCCCAATATTTACAAATACTCAAAACGCAACACTTGATAAGAGCGATCCCACATGGTGGAAGCTGAAAGTATTGCATGGATCTGTGCCTTTTTATAGATAGATACAAAATATCAATTTTTGAAACAGGAATTGTAGTAGTTGATTTTCAGCCCCTTTGTGAAGCTCGCCTTGGCGAAAACTCTATAACTCTGCACCGTTCTTTAGGAATCAAGATTTCTTTTACGCAATTGATGCCCTGCAATGGAGTCGATGCCATGCTAGTGAATGGATAAAACTACAAAAGGAGTAAAAATATATTTAAGGCTACAAAAGTATTGATTTAAAGCACTAACCATGCTCGCCTACACCTAACAGCTTCCTGACGAACAGCCCTCTTTGGATCATCAAGAGCCTTACATATTGCTTGTAGTACCTGAATAAAGATTATGAATAAGATGCAAGCATGCACACACATGCGCACACACAAATTATAACTAGAAAGTCAATTTTCATCAATGTCAGACAGACCCAATAAGTTGGGAGAACTTTTGTATCATCCACTCACCAAGAGAACTAATGATAAAACACCAACTAACCTGTGTTCTCATGGGAAAGATTCTTGCATATGGCAGCTCAGATGTTGCAAGAAGACATTGAAGTGCAGTCTCTCTAACAAGCTGAACACGTAAAAGAAAGATATATCAGCCAAAACATATAAATTTCAATTCTGGCTTTATTCACAGTACCAAGGCTACTGTAGATAAAGAAGGAAATGGGGGTGGCAAACTGAAATTGACATTTTATGACAGTTAATATTGATGCCTGAAAGAAATACCGAAACAGAAAAGGCGTGGCCGCACTTTCAAGAGCGCAAGTAAGCAACAGAACAAAGTTGGTAAAAAGAAGATTAGGTACCATCATATGTGGGTAGTCAATAAGTCTGGTGAGGCAATTAACTAAAATGTGTGCATTCTCTATGACAGCCACTTGTCCTGCATGAACAAGAAGGAAATGAACACTAGAATTAGGTTAAGAGTTGGGGAAACATAGGCAATGAAGCAGTCACATATCAGGAGAGATTCATAATTACATATTTAATTTGGCTAGTCCATGCAGAGAGATATATATTATATACACAGAAAGGTACATGTACACGCGCACACAAACAAACAAATGCAACCTGCACTGACACAGTTGGCATTACCATTTTTATCTGTCAATATTCCAGAAAGGACTAGCAGAAGACTATATAGCTTATCTTTATCCAGAATATCTTCACTAAGCAGGGACAATCCATCCAACAGTACTGGCATAAGCTGCAAAAAATTTATGGTAATGTCACAACAATGTTTCCAAGATATTCAAATGGCACCATAAACATGTAATTTGTTATTTTTAATTACCTTCTTGGCTTCACTCAAGATAACAATTAATGGAGCATTAGATATAAGGTGCGCAGATGCCCGAAACAGCATAGATCTGAAATAAGGCAGTAATTTGGGGAGTAAAGCTTTAAAAAAGTCAACAAGATTTCTTCCAGCCATGTGCAATAAGTAATATAATGAGTATGTACCTGCATACTGATGAATCAGATTTTATTATCCAAGACTGCAGAATAGGCATCACTGTAGAGAAAAACCGCTGCTTGTAGAGTGGTCGTGCTATGGCATGAAATTTTCGATTCAAACAAACTTCAGAATCACTCATAATAATGTGAAATGCATCTGCTGCGCTTCTCGTCACAGAGTGCTGCTCGTAACTGTTTTCTAACAAACCTTGCTTCAACTCCATGGCACATATTCTGCCTTCAGACAGTAAGCACTCCAACAAAATTTTGGTTACATCTTTTACTTTTTCATGACCAAGTAGAAGCAAACCTTTCCCTATCCATGCTAGTCCAACAATGGCATGGACTTGAAGCAGTTTATTGCTCGAAAAACCAAGGCATAAATCAGTAAGACCAACTTTACTGCCATTACCTGATCCACATGTCTGTAAAACTCCATTTTCATTGAGATTCCATAATTTTGTACTAAAAATCATATCCACTGCTTCTTCTAAGGTACAGTCATTTGAATTTGCTGTTTCATTGGATTTTGTACCCAATTTGTTGATCACAGAACCCGAAGCCTGAGCTGCTGGAACACAACCTTTAAGAACGGTTGTCATAAACAAATGCAAAATGCCTTTTACATTCACAATCTGCGCTTTTGGACGCACCGCTATGATTACTGATGCAAAAAGTGAAAGAATCCATTCATCTCTAAGAGAAAATTTGTCTATCTGGTCATCCCTATGAGAAGATTTGTCTATCTGTTCAGAAACGCGCAATTCTTCAAGCTGAATGGAAGAGGTGGCATCCAGGGAGTCCTCAAATGGAATGGATATGCTTGATGAAATAACACTGTAAGCCTTGTGGATTATAATATTCTGGCTTTCTTCTGAACAACTCCCAATGGCAAGCTTCATTGCCATCATGGTTGCATCAAGAAGTTCCTGAAGTAGCATTATAAATATTATTGGGTTTCACGTGTAGCATTATAACCTATCTTTTTCAGCAATTACTGACTATGGGTTAGCAATGTGGGAAGGAGCTGAAAGATATTTCTAATATATGGACTAAACATAATAATGGGAATTGATATCATAATATATTATATTCTCTTAAAAATAAAAAAATAAAATAAAAACTCTACGCACTTCTTCCTGGACTTGAATGCTAAAATCTTTGCAACTCTCAACGCAACTCCATATATTAATGACAAACCGCAACAGAACTTCCTCGAGACCTCCCGTTTCATTGATCCTGAGCCCATTTCAACAAAAAATTCATATCAACAACAGAAAAGGAATGAAAAAGAAAGAAAAACGCATTACACTGGGATCACAAATTAGCAATAAAATCTCATGAACGCAACACAATACCCTCCTATGTATGAAACTTCAACTTATTTATTACTTTATGTGTTAATAGAAGAGGAACACATATATGAGATAAAGAAGTGAGGGGTAGTTTACTTGTAGTGGTAATGTTTACTCAAGTGTAAAGGCCAAAACGAAGAAATATTATATATATATATATATATATATAATGCGTAGCTCTAAATATTCTCCTTAAATAACTAACAGATTTAGTGTGATGGCTCAATATTGTCAGGTTTTTCACGACAAAGCAGGTAAAAGAAACTTATTAGAAAATTATTTTTGATATCACCAACCGTTAGCAATTTCTTGACAAGTTAATTATATTTGATTATGGAAAATGGTTTGATCATCAGAGAGGGGATTTCACTTTTTATACCAGTTTCTTTCATTAATTATCTTCACATTCCAAAGCAGTCATTAATTATGCTAGTTTCCAAAAATACTTATGAATGCTCTTTTGTTTACCAAAAGAAAAAGAGCAGATCACTCTTCATATATCTAGAATAAATTATATGAATTACTCTCCAAATATCTAGAATTCCCTAGTAAAATTAGACATCTGCATCACGGCCCAAAGAAACAACGAATAGCAAATTTGTAAACTTGCTAGGTTTTGAACTAATGGTTGTTGAACTCATACTCCAAGGGCACAATGGTTGTCAAAACCAAAGAGTAACAATAACCAATCACAATTATCAAATTGGACATAACTTTACAGATTGAAACATTCAGGTAGAAAAGCATACCATGAAAGAATCTTATTACAGTAGCATTCCAACAGTTGAATTGTTTTTTCAGCTGACTTCAAATTTCCATGGACCTAAGCAAACAAAATGCAAAAAGACAAGAGTCATTAGATAAAGAGAGAAGAATTTCATGACTGCGGGTGTTCCATGAATTTATAAACGAATAGTTTTAGCATGAAAAACACATAATCTATAGGCTGAACATACATAATCAGATAACTTGGCCACTATTGCCTCTTCCATCCCGTGTACAATTTTTAGCATATGATTTCGCCCACTTGCACCAATCTCAGAGACCGCCTCCAGTTTTAGTGAAAAAGGCATATTAAAATCATCACGAGACACCAATGAAACAGTCTTGTCAACAACAGCACCCATATAGCACAGTGCCTTCTCAGACTCATGATACATATCAACGAATGACCCAATGTGGACTAAAGCTTTCAACACTAGTTTCCATAGCAATATCTTGTTGAAATCCACTAAGATGATTGACATGAGTATCGTCAGAATATTCGCAAACAAAAATTTAGATATTGGCAAGAAATCTCCAGGGAATGTAGCCAGAATCTGTAAACCCTTCACTGCATGTCAATTAAAATGAAAACCACAATCAATATAGTTGGAACTGGAACTAAATTTCATATTTAAACATATAAATGCATATCAGTCACTCAATTGGGAGAGAAAATCAATATAAAGGATGGGAAGGGGATATAAAAAAAGGGAGAGAGAGAGAGAGAGAGAGGAGAAATATATTACCATACATATATTATAATTACCGATTTGGAACTTTGAAAAATGATCTAAATTTTTCTGTACTTTATTATTTGTTTACAAAAGATGTAATGCAGGTTTCAGGAAGCTGTTCAATCATTGAACCCTAATATACGACTTAGTACCCATTTAAGGCCTAGCACAGACAGGCCAAGAAAAGATACAGCACGGAACTGACTCAAAAGACAGAACTCTTGTTTTAAGTGTCAAATAGGAACTCTGGCAAGAGACAGAATGATTAGAAGACTTTAATATTTCAAACAAGTGCACACAATAGATATTCAACAAAACTCATCATTCTAACGCAAGACTCAACAGCAGAGGATTTGAGAATTTGACAAATGCCACAAGTAAAAAAAATAAAATAAATAAAAATCTCACTACAGCGTACAGATCTAACCAAGTTGGTACAAACAAAAGAGATGTACAATTCTTGAAAAGCCGCTGGGCTCCCCTAAGTGATAACTTCCTACCTAAGGCATGCCCAGGTTCGCATAACTCAGATTGTCAGGATTAACTCATCATAAACATCTTGCGTTATGGAAAAATTAACCAGATGAATTATATAACAATGACATGTTCAAACAGAAAAATTTTCCAGAGCACAAGAAACTCAAAGCACTAACCTTTGAAATAAATATCTGCACCATGAGCAACTTCATTAGCATTTGTGGCCAAGGAAGAAGAAAAGGCATTGACTAGTGAATCCGCAAAGCTCTGAAGCATGTAGCGACATGTCTCCTGTGGAGTATCAGGCTTCGGAAGGTCTTTCAATCTCATAATTAAATCTCTGCATGCCGCAATTAATTCCACGCAGAGATAAAGAGCTCCAAAATTAAACTTTTTTGAGGGAAAATAATTCTCATTAAGAGTGCAATCCCCAGAGGAATTTGTCACAGAAATCTCGAGAGTATTCATTAGGCGGGGGAAGAAACTTTCAAACACACTGTTACAGGAAGCCATGGAAGTCTTGGAAATTATATAAAGGATGCGACCAACGGCATGTAACCACTGCTTGCCTTGCAAGGGAATATTATTATAATGTTCATGACTGGATATGGAGTTGAAAACTATGTTTATACCTTCATCCTGAATAATCAAACTTAAAAACAAAGCCTCATTTTGCAGGGTAACCTTCTGTAGAAGCATTAGAGCTTCTGTTGCAATTTCATTCTCTTGAAAGCCAAGACCATATAGTGGTTCTGAAGTAAAGGACATAGCAGGCTTTTCCAATGAATTACTTATTGCATCTTTCAGTGAAATCCAAATAGCTCCAGCATGTTTTGCCATTCTGTCAGCTCCATATTTAGCTGTGCAGTGGTTAAGATACTTCAAAGAATCAACCTGCAGGCATACAGAGCAAGCAACAAAATATAGTTTTTTAATAAATGCATTTTCTCAAAATTACAGTGAAAATTGCTGCATTTGCAACGCAAAGCATAGAGATGCATTCAAATTGACCAAACCTTTGCTAATGGCAGAGACGAAGAAAGTTTCTCAAGAAGCAATGGAATGACAAATGGTTCGAATAAAGGCGTGGACGAGAATGCTGACTGCAGAAAGAAAAAATTTAGTTTAAATATTGTGCACGTGAAAATCACATAGATAGTCGTATAAATAAGTAAAAAATAGCTCACATTGTTCTGTTCCCACCTTAATTGCCTCATTGGAAAAAGCAAACATTAAGCAATAAAAGATAATGTCCCCAAACGAACACAAAGTATAGTTTTCCTTCACTTCACGTCCCTCTATGTTTATGGCAAACTTTTATGTAGGTTGTGAAGCTGGCTATTCATATAAAATTCTGCATAATATATAAAACCTCGGGGGTAACTATGCAAACTGAGATGAAAAAATATTAATAAGAGAGCGAAGTTGTGAATGATTAATTTCTCATCTAGGGAACTAAACTGCAATGTGCAATTCTCCAAGCAAGTAAATTTTCCTAAGCCAGATTAACCTGTAAAACCTGGTACTCATGAGGATTTTTAGCCTAATATATAAACCAGTTGCAGGCTTTATGTTTACTTGAGCTCATTTACACTCTTAAAATAAAGGCAAAGGCTGGATTTTACTGACTCACTTTTCCCTATTGATTCAGTAGCCTGTCTCACTGCTTTATTAAATATGTGTTTTCAGACTCAACAGTTCTTGGTGAAAACTACTGTAGAATGTAGAGTTTTTTTATGAATACAGGTACAAAAAGAAAGAAAAGCTACCCAGAACTGCTTTACGATTCAATCCAGTAGCATCTTCCTATAAATTATTGGAAAAAAATTAATGTGATAGACAAAGCATTCTCACATGCACCTAGAGTGCTAGTCAAAGCTAAGTCATAATCAGTTACGATGAATGATCTGATCTCTGCCTTAAAGAACAATGTTTATCATCATGGACATATATCCATCAGCCAATATCAATTTAAACCAATTTCATATTCCAGCAAGCAGTGTCAGGAAAAAAAAATTCAAGCAAAAGATGGGGAGAAATAGAATCAGTAACAGTGAAAGCATACCATTAGTGCCTTTGAAAGGTCATCCCTTTTCACCTCAGCATCCTCATCTTTGAGCTGGACAGTGTATAGAGGAAAAAAAAACCACACATCACATATCAATGAAATCAAAGAGTGTGAGTTTGTAAAGAACTGAATAGAAACACATGGAATATTAAGCCAACAAAAGATAATGGTCTATATCCTAAGTCAAAGGGGGGGAAAAGCAACCAAACAGAAACCTCAACTATGATTATCTTTAAAGGCATTCCATTTGATAAGAATGTGACAAGCTAGAATTCATAAATTTGGATCGTCAACGTTTAATTAGAAATTGAACTTTTGATAGAAATCAACATCTATAAATAAAAAAGATTATTTTCATTTTAGTTATCATTAGTCATTTTCATAGCATTATGACAACCCAATTGTCTGGGTCACTTTAAGGAGACATCCTAATTGAAGAGGAAACATCCCACTGGTTAAAAAAAAGGCTTACATGCATCATTAGTCATTTCCAAAAGGTGGCTTCAGAGAAGATCAAGATATCAAAAATTTCCATCACATCTATACATAATGCAATTTAAGAAACTAATTTTAGAATTTTTGTGCATGCTAAGAAATAGTTTACACAGAAGCAATTTCAAAATTATAACAATACTTCAATTAGTTTACACTGAAATGCAACCAACGGGTGAAAAAATAGCTTACATGAGTAAAATGAATGGGAAAGTAAGATCCCAACAGTTCAAATAGGTCTCCACAAAAACTTGCAAGTGAGCCAGATGGGTCTGGATATATTCGCACCAGAGTCTCAACAATAGGAAATGTTAACATTAAGCAATGAGGATCCTTTTCTCCATCCATAGCTTGACAGATCCCATAAAAAAAGGTTTCACCCTATACAATGGAGAACAAACTGATTAACATGTAACCAGAATCACTGAAAAACGAAAGAGATTACTTTTGGGAGGAGTTGACAGAAATTGAAACCTCCATGGTATATGGAGCGCACACATGCATGTGTTTCTCTGTCTATGTGCATATGTGTGTGGAATTTTGGTAGATAGACATTCTCATTAATTGGGCATGTTCCAGGTTTGTAACATGGCCATGACCGTGACCATGATAGATAGATAGACATTCTCATTATATGCACGTTTTGTAACATAACCATGATATTGAGTTCCAGGTTCTAATTGGGCATGTACAAATCAAGCCAGACATTCTCATTAATTGAATAGAAGTCCATTGAACTCATAGTGTTTATTATAGTTGAAGTTAATCTGCCACGAATTCTTCAGGTCATTCATAAAGTTGCAATGAAATTGGAAACAGTACGTATTGTCATCAGCCAGTGTTAAGGTGATAGTATCGGGTATCTTTCCTGATTTGCAAACTTTCATCATATACGGCTGGAAATGGATTATAGAAACTGATGGACAAAACACAAACAAGCTGAAGAAAGCTAAACAGAAAAAATACCAGTGAAGCAATCTCATTCGGATGGCGCTCTAAAAGGCATTCCAAAAGCTCAAAGCAAAGCTGCAATAGAATTTGGACATGGAAGTCAAGCAGTTTTGTTCTTGAAAAGGCATTGGCTATACATATAACAGATATTAGTAATTTTGCTTTCATTCAATTTCCTGGGCATTAAGGATGGCATCCATTATCCTACCTTTCTGTCATGCTGCCCTAAAGATTGCACCTGTAGGGACTCTATGTAAGACTGGGCAACCAGTTTTGCGTCACTGGCCGAGACCATTCCAGCATTAACTTTCCTCCTCAGCAGTGCCAAGCAACCGACAAGTGCACCACGTAAAGCTCTCCAATCTGCCTGATAAAAGAAAAATATCACTAATTGCCTTTTGAGAAAGCAAAATATGAAATTGCAAAACAGAGGTTCCATAACAAAAAAGCCAACGCACCAGTCTGTCTGTGAAGAATCCTATCAAACTATGAATAGTTGCATTATCTAGTGGCTTTGATGCAAGACCTGTAAGAACTTCTGCCAGAAGAAGTATACCTGAAGAAGGATACAGTGTCCCATGAAGCTTTCAGATTTTTGTCATGGAATTTAACCATTTAGGTAAAAGTACAATCTAGGGTAACACTATTTGAAAAACAAAAAAATTCGTCTGAGAAAGAATAGACGATGTAATATAAGTATATGGGCAGTATAAAAGAGAACTTAAGGTGGAATTGGCATAGCATGGCCACGAATAAATCTCTTGCTCAAAAGAAGACTTATTGTCTAAGAATAAGAGTCAGTGGCAGTTAATTATGTCATTAGTGATTTGTTCTGGGTTTTCTTAAAGTTTCTAAAGTCGGGTATTTTACTGACACTTTCATTGCTGAATATGGGTTGTGGGTCGTGGATAATGAGTTTTATTTTATTAATAAGATAACATAATTAAACAAGGGGCATGACATGTGACCTTAAGCTTAGTTTACTTGTGGAATTAGGAGTTTGTTTTATAGTTTCCCTTAAGAAAAAGGTGAGAGAATTTTTAACTACCAATACAACTTATTGGATTCATACAGCTTGTCACGAATTGAGTATTCCAGTTATTGAGCTGCATGCCCAGTTTCTCTCTCTCTTCTCTTTGTGCATTGTTCGTGTGGGTACTGTTTATAGCAATCCCAAGTTTCTTCCTTCTCTTGTCTGTTCAAATCGAAACCCCATTTTTTCCGCATCAAAATGGCAGAACCCCAAGTAAAATTCACATCTTTTATCCCTACCAAATCCTTTTAGAACCCTTCCCTAAAACCAGGAATTTGCATATTCAGCCAGAAAATTCCTGCATCAATATCTTGAAAACCAGCCCTATCATCTCTTTAGCCTTTCAAACCCCGATTTGTGATACCAAACCTTAAACATCTTCTTCTAGACCCCCTAGTCCAAATCACAAGTTTCCTAAACCTTATAGCCCTTCATATAGCATATGTAGGCAAGAATTTACACTCTATCCTACATCTCCTAAACTTAGAGCAGAACAGAAGAATCAAAACAGATAATTAAGAAAGTTAAAGTACAAAAACGATCTAGAGGAACATTACTGGATCTGAGATCATGAATCTCATAGCCAAAGGAATCATCCCAAATCACCACATATATCCAAAATCAGAGCTATCATCTACACAAATGCATTCTCATCATCAAACCAAAAGCCAGCTGCACAGAGAGTCACTTGCGCACAAAAATATGCATATAAATCTTTAAGCTACTACCTGATACTTAGACTTAGGTCCTCACAGGATAACAATCTTTCATTCCATTTAAGAAAAATAAATAAATGACATAAGAGTTACCCCGAGCACGGATCACATTATCCGTAGTGGTCAAATACATCCTCATCTCTTTCACCTATTTAGACACACAGAAATTAGAGAAAACAGACCAATTGAATCTAACCGAAAGATGATGGATAAAGAAAAGTTAATCGTACCAGCACTTCAATGGTTAAAAAGTCACTCTTCACGAGAGAAATGATTGAATTCAAGCTTGCAGCCTGTAAAGCACACACATTTTGAGCTTCAAACTATCCTAACCCAAAGCAGAAACATGAAAGAAACTCATGCATAGGTTACACAGTGCTACAGCCATTTAAATTGATATACGCTGCAGAATTTGATTAAAGATTCATAATTTAGTTTGAATTTTGATTGTATATTTGTTTTCCTTAATTTTCCAAACAGCAAAACACAGGATTAAGGAACTCAAACTAGTAGAGACTTTTCACTAAAAAAATATTTAAAAAATCGAGTAAAAATTAAATGGAGCGTGAACCTGCTCGGTAGGAGAGCGAGACGTGTCGACGTACAACTCAATGTGCCGAATCAATTCGGTGGTTGCGGCCATTGCTAGAGAATAGAGAGGTTTCAGGGTTTTAGGAAATATTGAAGAAAGGGAGGGTTTTGTAAATGGGAAGTTTGAAACAAAGTCCCTGAGTCGGAGACCCGGAGTCACTTGAGCTCAAAAGGGTTTTCCTTTCTTTCTTTTTTTCTTTCCCTTTTTTTCTGTAAATAAATGGTTTGTTGTTGTAATTGTACTTGTAACACCTCATATTTCAGTAGATCATATTAAACTAGTTGATCAGGACAGTGAATTTGTATCAAAGTTTGGTTTCATTTTCCGTAAATCGATTGCATTAAAAATAAATTAAAAAACCCTAGTTTTCCAGAAAAAAAAAATGGTATATAATTTTTCAATAATTTCTTAGGTTTGAAAGTGCTACATGTCTTGTGGTATATTGTTGTGTTGTATAATTTGGAATTTGTATCAAATACCTATTTTAACATAACTTGTTTAATTAGTCGTATGAGATTCTTTTACACTAGGATTTTTTTAATGTGTTCGACTTTATTCATAGATCCTATGAAATATGAACTAAAAATTCATTCTTTTATTTTTGAGGCTAAACCTTCTTACTCATCACTCCCCATAAAATAAAAATACACATGATTTTTATGAAGGAAAAAGAAAAACACACATGATTTAGATGCTAGTAAAATCAAGAAAAATAATTATAGCGATATTTAACAAGCATTTGTTAGTTGTTCTTGTCGGATAATACTTGTCTTGACCTGTTAATTTGTGCTAGATTCAATTTCAAATCACATTATGGTATGGTGGTGTTAAAAGTAAAAGCCATCAGCTCTATGTACATGAAAGAAATTATAATTTATAAGCCAAGAAGTCTGCAAAATTACATGTGTTGCTGGTGGTTCTATGTTGTAGGGATACAAAATTACATGTGCAAAGCTCCTTATACTTCTTAAAGATACAAATGAACCCACCTTGTACAAATCAGAATATAAGATCATGAAACTATTTATTCAAAAGCCATCTCAAGAAACCTCATCCAATCGATCAAGAAATCCTTTATGAGTTACACAGTCATTAAACAGAAGCTCATTTGAAGAAGCTGCTTCAAACTTTGTCCACAACTCCCTCTTTAAGGTATTCTCACCAGGACGCTTGCCCGTTCGAACAACGCTTTCAGCTTCTTTGCAGATCGGGGTGCTTCCTATCAGTGCAAGCCTGCCCCCTACAGGTTCTGTGACAAAAGAAAAAATTTGAATCAAAAGATGTCCAGTATGCTGTGTGTGCTCTCACACATAAAACTAGTAAAAGGAGCAAAAAATGAATGGCCAATACCTTGAAGACAAGATGTTTTGACTTGATGAATGCCTCCTTGTCCATCATTTCCTTTTGATAAATACAAATTCATTTGCTTATCTAGAAGATGACTGGTTTGTGGCAATTGGAAATCAGCATTGTCTGAAGACTCTTCATCAGGTGGATTTAGTAGAACACAAGTTCTGGGAGGTGACATACACCATTCTGGTGACGCTTCTACATGTTTCTTTCTAGGTCCCGATTTATAAGCCTGTTGTAGCGCCAACAGCTCTGGATACCTGAAAGCCAGATCCTCAGAAACTTCACTGCCAGAGGATTCACTGCAATTTGTGAATCCGACAGGAAACGGGGTAGACTTATGAACCCTGCGATGGCCCTTAGGAGAGGACTCTGGAATGGGTTCAAGCAAAACACAAGATTTAGGAGGAGACGTTTTTAGGCATGGAGTCATCACATTCACGACCATGGAGCCCCCTTGTTTCGAAAACATAGGCGGAGAAACAAAACCAAACTCAATATTGCTTCCTGGCTCAATACCAACTGGTCCAGAAGGCTTACTTGGAGTTGGCTTTGTTGCCACAAATTCAAGCAAATCGTCATTTGCATCTCCAAAAGTAGCATGAAAAAAGGGTATCCTATCAGAAGTACCAGAAGAAATTCTCTCAAAGACTGATGATTTAGAAGGGATTGGGGGTTTAGAAGACAGAGACTTTGATATGGGAAGAGGGGTAAGTTTAAACAGATGTCTCCCTCTTTCGATAGTGCAGTCGGCACGCCAAGACACAAGGGGAGAAGGTGAGATAAGGGAGCCTAGTGGACTGTCAACCTCTACACTTTCAACTTCATTTACAGTAGACTCCACAGGAGTGGAGAGTGACTTCTGAAGCCTGGGAACCCATGGCTGCAAGCAGTTGCATAAAGTGCAGGAGAAAATAAAATTCAACATCAATTGGGAAAAATAGGATGTATCATTATCCAAGTGGGATACTGAGAAATGAATTGGGTAAGAATTCTACTGACCTTCATAGAGGAAAGTATCTCAGACAAGAAGTTTGTGAAGGATTCAACTTCTTTGGTTTCTGTTCCTTTGCATTTAAATGCTTGCACAACTAATTCATCAATCTGCCATTCAATTTCAATGCAAATCACATTCTAAATTCACACAACCCTAAAGAAAACAGAATTTTCAATTTTCAATATAGATGAAAACTTTAACAATTCTGCAGTGGTTTCCAGTTGTAAATAGAAATCTCGAGAGAGAAATGTTGGCACCTGATGAACTAGGGTAGAGAGATCGGACTGAAGGAGCAAGAGCCGATCCAGAGTATCTTCGTTTTGATCCTTTCCTTCATCGTCTTCGACCCTAAGCTTGTGTGGTTCCTTGTCTTTCTTCTTCGCGGTGGCAGAAGATTTGGAGAACCTTCCGTTCTTCTTCGCTGTGGCAGAAGATTTCGAGAACCTTCCACCGCCATAGTTGTTCGCTACGTCCCTCAGCGCCTTCCTCACTGACCTCGCTTTCTCTTCGTTCATCGGCATCTCTCTCTCTCTCCCGCTCTCTGTCTCTGTTACTCTCTCCGCTTTTGAAATTCACAAATAGCCGCTCATTTTCGCTCAACTCTAGAGTTCTTGGGCCCATCGCATTATTGGTCCGCAGGCCAAGCCCATCATAATCCGGCCCAACACATAGACTTTTTTTTCGGTCCACATGCCGAGCCCATCTTATGACATTTACATGGATTATTATAATCATTCTAATTATCGACTTCCCATGCGTTTATTAACATATGTGGATTGCATACTGAAATTTATAATCTAACCCCAAAAACCATGAATTAAATTGACTATCGGGCTCATTTCTTTATTTCATATTCCTAACTTCCTCAATTCACGATTTCTCTACATTCTTTCTTCGTAAGTAAACATACCCGGCCGGAATCTTTTCTCTCTTGGTATTCCAATTTTCATTCCAACGAGTGACGTCGGTCCCTCTTCTCTCTCTTTTTTTTCTTATAGATTCCATTAAAATTCTAATCGAATATCCCTAAATTTTTAAAATCCTCAATCTTTCCACATTAGTATCATGTTGTGACAATTGTGTAATGCATGGCCATGAAAGAAATTATTGTGCCGTATATAGTTTTGTGAGCTCTACCTAAACTGAACCTAGACACAATTCCGGACCAGGTATCCATATCATCACTCCCCCAAACCCCCTAATCCAGTGACAAACTCACCACAACACTGCAAGCCGGCGCGTCAACCCACGCGCCACCATCGCACACACAGCGACACCATGGCGGGTAGTTTTGTGGAAATCCAAATCCCGCAGCAAAAGCTCTACAGCGGAATTCAATTCCCGGTAGTCATAACTCCGAGCCCCGCAGCTTCCTTCACTCTCTCTGCTCTCACCAAAACCATCGAAGCCCAGAAACCCTATCTGGAGGCCCAGCTCCGAAAATCCGGGGCCGTGCTCTTCAGGGGCTTTCCCGTCAATTCAGCCTCGGACTTCAACGACGTCGTCGAGGCTTCCGGCTTCGAGGAGTTTCCTTACGTCGGCGGAGCCGCTCCCCGGACCAACGTCGTGGGTCGGGTTTTTACCGCCAACGAGTCCCCCCCAGACCAGAAGATTCCATTTCACCACGAAATGGCTCAGGTATATTCGCATCTTCCGTTTCCTTTTTAATTGCACGGCATGTCGGTTTTATGTGTCTTTTCTTTCTAGTGCGGTGTTCTTGCGACGTGTCGTTTCAGGTGCCTGAGTACCCAGCGAAGTTGTTCTTCTTCTGTGAAGTGGAGCCTGGAAGTGGGGGAGAAACTCCCATTGTTCTGAGCCACATTGTGTACGAGAGGATGAAAGAGAGGTACCCAGAATTTGTTGACAAATTGGAGGAGCATGGTTTGATATATAACCGGGTTTTAGGCGAAGAAGACGATCCTTCTTCTCCAATTGGCCGTGGCTGGAAGTCCACCTTCTTGACCAAAGACAAGAGCATAGCTGAGGAAAGGTATATATGTTCAAAATTATACAACAATCCAGTCTAATGCAATTAATATAGTTCTGTTTATCTATACAATTTCAGATGGTCTAGTCCTATGTGTACAAACTATAATAGCATGAGTAAATTTTCCAATTGTAACACCACATGGCATGTCGATATAATGTTACGAGTTCAACTAAATTATAAAAAGGGTGCAGTTATTAGCATCTAAAAGCTAAACAGTAAATTATCAATTCTATATTAATTGCACTTGTTATGATTTGAGTGAATTCTAAGACCATGTGTTATAATTTGAGTGAACTTGTAAGACCGTGTCCTTATGCCACGTGATATTAGGGTAACATACAGTTGTCATCCAATATGATGTATCAAATGAGCCCTCAATGTTTTGTTGAAGGTTTGAAGTTGTTGCACTGATTGTTCAGTTAGTTGAGTTTATGGGTTTGTAAAATTGAATTATGAACAACTAACAATGGCTCTGCTAAAACTTTTGGCAGGGCTGCTAAGCTGGGCATGAAGTTGGAATGGTTGGAGGATGGAGTGAAATCTATCATGGGGCCAATCCCAGCCATCAAATATGACAGCACAAGGCAGCGGAAGATTTGGTTCAATAGCATGGTAGCCGCATATACAGGGTGGGAAGATGCAAGAAACGACCCTGTGAAGGCTGTCACCTTTGGAGATGGCAGCCCATTGCCCGCAGTAACCATCCACGACTGCCTGAAAGTTCTTGAAGAAGAAAGTGTTGCCATCCCTTGGCGCAAAGGCGATGTTTTACTGCTGGATAACTTGGCTGTGCTTCACTCCCGGAAATCGTTCAGTCCACCTCGCAGAGTCCTAGCTTCACTGTGCAAGTAGTTTAGCTGCATCATGTATGTGTTCTTATGTGTTGTTCACTCCTCCCTTTTGGAGAGAAAGGGTGCTAAAGCATGTGTCTACTTATTTGTCCATGTCAGGTTAGGGTTTATGCAGACGGAGCTTGTTTGTACAATCCTATCTTAAAGAGTATAATCATATAATGATATGGTAGTTTCATACAAACTCTTCATGTTTCTAAATAAATTTCGATTGCTTTTGTAATTTGGTTTTTTTTTCCTGACATCTCCATTGATGTTTCCGTGAATTCGAAGTATATCTAACATAACACTTGTAAAGGGAGAAGAAAAGAAAAATAAGGGAGACAATTTTGGATCAAGAAGCTCAAAGCTCCTTGAGATTCAAAATGAAAATATTTGCTCGGTCTTGTCAGCATTTTGTCAAGTAGATAATACTGCATCCATGTTCATTGACAATTGTCTCAGTGTATGTCTGAGTATACTGTATAGGTTTATAATAGAAAATCCACGTAAAATAGGATCGGAATCAAACAACTGAAAAAATTATATATATAATTAAGCTACTGAAAGCTCACTCTCCGCCATCACAATATTTCACATTAAATAAAAAATTTCCCACAAATGACACTACAAAGAATAAAACATCTAAAATGGGGGGAAAAGGAGAAACAAACCAAAATGGAAGAAAGAAAGATGATGTATAAATACTACCACCTTACCACTATATATGTGCCACTATACACAGCATACAGATAAAAGAAAGGCAAAAGAATGAAATCTTTGAAGGCATCGGGTTGAAAGGGAAGGTGCTGTTCCACTATCTTCCCTGAACAAGGCCACTGAATACCTGGCTGTTCCCTGCAAGAGTGGCTTCCCACTCCACTGAAGATAGGAGGATCTGTGACAGGGAAATCACGATTCCTTTCATGTCGGGCCGTAGGATGGGGTCATCATCTACACATTGCTTCGCTATCATGGCCACCTATGCACCAACAAGAAGAAATTAACAGGTTACTCATAAACATTGAAAAACAGTTTCGAAGGTAATTAAGTGTTTTTGTTTTTCTTGTTTACTCTGATGATATAATTACTTGTACGGGAATAATTCTAAGGTCTACATTTAAGCCCTTTCTGGCCCTGGTCTGGGTAGGTGCTCGGTAATGGGACATCTACTTGCCTCCAGATTGAGTAAAATAAGGTTTCCTCTCTCAGAAAGTTGGCAAAATGTTAGCTTTGAATGAGAGAGAGACAAAGTAAAGTATTAACAGCCACTTTCTGTAGCATGATAGCTTGATAAACAAAGCTTGGGATTACATAAAATCAATGTCAAATTTTCATATTCAAACTAATATACTATATATGGTTTCAAATTAATTCTCACATGACCCCTGTTCCCACAGTCCAGTTAAGGAATAAGTGTCACTTTTTCACTCAGATTTACAAGTAATTTGTATGCTAATTGTCATCAGAAAATTATATGCTTTATCTTTCGAGCACTTTCTTGTATCAGAGAGGTACAGTCAGTGAAAGCAGGCAAAAGTATCCACCAATCTGTATGAGTTCAAAAGGTGATTATAGTTACCTTGAATAGACAATCATGGGGATACAAGTCCATCATATTTGGATCAATGTAATCTTTCAAGCTTGACATACTCATGGAGTCCGGTGCACTCCTAAGAGCTGTTTGCATCTGCAATCCAGACAAAAAATTAGGGATGTATCATATAAGTAGAGATGGTTAAATTATATTAATTTGAATTGATAACTACTCTAAAGAAATGTTATGTGCCAAAGATCATTAGATTTCTTATATCTATACAGAATAGAAAATTATGTCTCCTAAGAAGAACTTACAATAGATACCAGTGAACGCCTTTCAGAATTTTTTGTAGCTGTGCCTTCAGTTCGTATAACAGCCTCCTTTCCCGATATAAGCTCAAAAAGAACAACCCCAAAAGCATAAATATCGCTTTTGGTAGTAGCACGGCCATCACTCAGGTATCTACAAGGACGCATGAGGGCAGCAATTAAACCTTGTTGAATTTTTCAAGGAAAAAGTAGTCAGCTGAAAGTTTACTTACTCTGGAGCCAGATAACCATATGTACCAACAACTTTGGTTACCGTAGCTTCTCCCTCACTTGTTTTACCGAAAATTTTTGCCAACCCAAAATCTGAAATCTAAAATACAAAGAGAAGAAGTTTAATAAGTGACATGGACAAAATGCATGCATACACAATACACAGGAAATCACTATAATATATTGAACCTTTGCCCTGAAGGTACCATCAAGCAAGATGTTGCTTGTCTTGATGTCGCGATGGACATAATGAGTTTTAGTGTGCTCGTGGATGTACTCGAGACCTCTAGCAGCATCAAGAGCAATCTGGACCCTCATGATCCAGGAAAGTGATGTATGACCTATGAGCCAGTTCATCATTCACAGAGATTAGAGACATACGCATGGCTCAACAATACAAAGGTCACATACAAACTGGAAAATAAAGTGGATAGTGGGCCAAATTTTAATAGAACCTAACCTGGAGCTGATATTGGGCCAAAGAAAGAAACAAGAAAAATATAGCTAATGACATTCGCTCAACATAGCATTACCATGTAAGTTGTAACTTACCCTTGTTCTGAGGATCATGCAAATGACTTTTAAGTGAACCTTTTTGGGCATATTCATATATAAGGAAGAGCTCATCATCACTTGCAGCATAACCAATCAATTCTACCTTGACACAATTAAACGAAAATAGGAGTCAGAGTTCTGAAACACTGAAAGCAATAAGCTCCAAAGCTACAATGAGAATTACCAGATTTGTATGATGAACCTTGCACAAAACTTTTATTTCTGCCATAAACTCTTTAGTTTTTGTAGCAGTCATTCTTTTAATTGCAACTTCCTAAAACAAAATTCAAATCCATATCAACAAAGATGTGACAGGGAAACTTACTCTAGATGGTAAAAGAAAACGTAGAATATGGGAAACAAAGTACAAAGCTGCAAACCTGCTCACGGAGGAGGCCATAATACACTGAACCATATGTTCCATGCCCCAGAAGACGTGAATCAGAGAACCCGTCTGTTAAGGAAGAAATTTCTTCATATGTGAAAACCACAGGCTTCTCCATGTCAAGTACATGACTGCCGAGAGCTGCAACAAGTAAAAGGAGAGGATCAATCGGGCATTCCCAGATTGAGGAAGACCACATTTCGGTACATAAAGATTGGATAAGGAAGCAGATCACACAAACACACTAACCCTGACACACTGAATCAGAGGACAAGAATAAGGAGGCATCTACGTGCATTTAGAAGTTTCAAATATAGGAATAAAACTCCAATATCATGACATACAATCTATTACATGAAGATCCATTCAAGAAAAGTTGTTACAGAAGCTCCAATTTTTATGTTCTAATTTATCCCTGCCTTTCTATGTTCTCTTTTTTCTCCTTCTACAGATAATAATCATCAGACATTTAGAAAAGCAGAGCTTCATATTGAAATCTGAGGAATAAAATACAACGAGATAAAATAGTTCAGACAGTAAACCTTTGGGAATAGTTATCTGCTGGTTGCTAGAATCCCCATTGGTTTGCTTCCAATCTGCAGACGTGCAACACATGTACCTTCCTGAACCACAACAGAAACTTGGCTTCCCAAGAATATGAAATCTAATCTGGCCATCAGGATCTTTTGAGTGACCTCTTCGTTCTTCAGTTAAGCACTTTGATGACCTTAGGCAAACATATAAAAGTATGCCTAATACTATCACAACAAGAACAATTCCTAAACTCCCTACAATCCATAAATATGGCACATGCGCCTTATGATCCACTTGATTTGCTGCAAACAAATAGCAAACAAATTGTTAGAATTCTTGAAAAGATGTACTTGTGTGCAGTATGTTGTGCTTGAGTGGAGGAATCCTGGGAAAGTTAGGAAGGCTGGGGGAACCATAAAAGAAGAATCAGAAAGTTTTCAGCTCTTCTTCTACATTAAACTCAAGAAATCATGTTAACAAGCGGATTACTTACCAAAGCAACTAGTTTTCAACTTTTAATTTTGTACATTATATCAAGAAAACTAGCAGTCCACCAATTCCCAGAGAAAAATAATGTTATAATTCCTCGTAATATATCAAACTATACCTGAAGAACTGTCAATGGGTGGAGAAGGAACAGGAGCAGGAGGAATACTCTCCAAAGGATAAGGCTCACCAGGAACTAGAAGCATGATAAAAATAAAATAAAGTTAATAAGTAAAATACACTTTTACGATAAGAGTGTTTAACTCTAATCATAATGCTTATTGGAAATTGATTGGAAATCATCCAAGAACTAGAATCTCCTCAAAAGAGATAGGCATGCATAAGACATGATAACATAATGATTTCTACTCAGCAGATTTCCCTAGTGAGCACTGTCCATTTGCCCAACAAAATATCGGATAGTCTACTTTTCATAACAGAACATACAAAGGAGTTTACAAAATGGTAGAAACGATGACAACTAACATTGGCAGCAAATGTGGTAAAAAGTTTTTCCATCCACTACTTCTTCAGGGACAATCAAAATGAACTGATGGCTACTCCAATGAAGATAACACAGCATCAATAATCGATAGACATGCACTATGCCTCGACATGATGCGACGAACATTTCACTCGTCCATTCATTTCCAAGAGATGTAACCACAGCTCACAATTCAAAGTTTAAATGAATTGAATTTGCCAACTTTGGCAAATCTAATCAATGACATGCTTACAATGAATAGCATTCCATTACATGTTCCCCAACAATCACACCCAATGAAAACCTTACCACATTGTAAGTTTCTAACCCAAAATTCAACAACTCACACAAACAGAGTAAACCACAAGTAAACCATATGAACCAAAAAGAAAAACAACTGACCTGAATTCAAAGGTATGTAATATACAGCACCGACAGTCACATTATCAGGATCATCAATCCCATTCACTTTCTCAATGCTATCCATACTAACCCCGAACCGGCTAGCCAAAGATTCAATGCTATCTCCATCCCTCATCACATAACTCATCAAATAGTTCCACAACCCACTTGAACACCCACAGAGCAGCCTCAACGACACAACGGCGCCGTATCTGGCCCGCCTAGTCGTGTTGGGCAAAAAGTCAGCCCACCATAGGCCTCCATAACCATGTTATAAACATACCCATCTCCTGATTTCACAGTAAACGTTGTGTTGGTCAAGTACTTCTTGATCCCATCAGCACAAGAACAGTTCTTTTTTATAAACACATAGCCCCGCCCATCACCGCCTTCCACCGTCACGTCTTCAGGTAACACATCGAACATGCTCTGAATCACCGAAAGGGTCTCATTGGCTTCGGGCTTAAATGCTAAAAAGGATGTGCACAAGCGAGTAGTGTCCGTACAGTTCATGGGTGCTGGGGAGAAAGCCGTTGAAAAGCTAATTGGGAGGAAAATAAGGTAAAGCAGGATTGGCATAGGGGTCCATTCAAGCTTCATGGTCAAGAAATTGGTAGCGAAAACAAAGAAAGTGCAAGAATTTTGAAGTGGGTTATTCTAGTTAGCTCAACTTAGGCAGGTCTCATGGGTTTGGATTATTACAAATGGTGGCTTGGTCACTTGGTGGAGTGAGATCAAGATTTTGACAAATTGGGTTGAGTTTTGCAAAATGATTGGAAGTGGTTGATGGAGAGCAAGTTCAGCTCAACTGCTTTGATGGGTTTTGACAAGAAATAGTAGATGGTTGGACTGAGATCAAGAACAGACAAACTGGTGTAACTATTGCTTAGAGTAATGGAAGTTGATGGTACAAATTTTAGCAGCAAATTACAATCTAAATGGTTCTTAATGTTATTGTTTTGTACAAGTGGTAGGTTGGAGCAGTGAGAGGGAGCAAGAATTGGTAGGTTTGGAGGAAGTGCGAGGGTTTTAAAGAAGTGGGGTCTTCTGGAAAAAAATTAGCAGAAGCAGAGTGAGGTTTGGAAATGGAGGAATAGTGACCCAAGGGGGTTTGAAGGACAGGAGATGACAGGAATGAAGGGATTGTAAACAGAGCATTTGTGTGTGTGTGTTGTGTTGTAAACTCACTGACCCACTAGCTTTTGGTTAAATTTGCTTGCAACGCAATACAATACAGTGAAAAAAAGAAAGTGAACATCCAAAGAGATACAGGACTTTGCAGAGAGCCACCCACCTGGAGATATTGGGGATCATGTTTTATGACTAAATTACCCTTACTGTGGCCTCTTTAATCCTTCTTTAAATTTAAAGTTTTTTTTTATCAATTAAATATTGAAATGTTAAAAATTAAATGATTTTTAAAAATAGGAAAAAAGTATTCTACTTTAACACTTTGATTTCATGAAATTTTGATGCAATGAATCAAAAACTTCAGGCACTTTGATGCATGAGGGTGCAAGTCTGGCAAGTTGAGAGGTCTGACTTAAGTTTAAACTCTATATACTGGATTTTGATTTGAAGTTCGTATTTAATCTGATCAAGTTCCAATAAATTCAACACAAGCATAATTAGTACAAATAGCTTAGCTCTAGTTGCTTAAGTTAATTTGGTTGAGTTGAAACAAAGAGCTCAACTTACTAATTGAGCATACTGAATTTGTTTATAAACTTATGTTAGAATCAAATTTTGAATTTAAGTTTTAGTACTATTTGAAGAATAATACACGAGAAAAACTAGTATAAGTGTCGAATTTAAGTTTTAGTATCATTTGGGGGTTGAGTTCACTCATATCGCACATCATATGAGTGTTCAAAATAGTTCTTTCACTAGCACTAATTATAGCAGTATGTGATGAATGATTATTGTGTGCAAAGTTTTTTTCTTTCTAATATTGGATATAAAGTATCTTCACATATTTTAATAAAAATGTATTTTTGTGGTTCAAAAGGAGTTAAGATAGATTTTTTTGGTCGAAGATTTTATTTATTTATATTGAGATGTAGACTGTTGTATTATCCAAAATGAAGAAAACGTACATGTAGATTGAAAATGAAATTTATTGAAGATATTTATACTTTTGGTTAGTATTACCAAAAAAAATACACTAATTCTGAAAGGGAATAAAAGGGCAAAATGGGAAAGAGATTCACGGGAATGGTAATGAAGGCTGGTTTTGGGAAAAGGATGGGCACAAGTTGCGAAGAGCTGGCAAAGAAAACGACAGTTTTGTTGGGCGGGTCCCACGAATTTGGCGCCAATATCTCAAAAGCTCGCCGGTAAATTGTCTTGTCACCGGCGATTCCCACGTCAAAACTCGTTGACTACTCTTACCTTTTGACTCCCGAGTAACCGACAGTGACACTTTTTTAAGGTGTTTGTTCTTTTGTTGGGCATCTCTCTTCTTTGTATTTTCTTTTTTATGTTCTCCAATAATTCAAGTCTTAAATTTTTAGATCTATAAATAGTAATACTTTCACATGGTCATGAGTCATGACTATGAGCAAGGACGGATATAGCCTCTATTTAGCTAGACGGCCGCCAGTTAAAAGTTTCCAAAAATAAATGGTAGATATGTTAGCCCAACCAAAAAAAAACTATATCTCTAGATGTCTAGCCAAGCAGCAACATATTCTCTTCTCCTTGTTACTTTTTTTTGACTTTGTCTATAGAGAGGCAGGGCATAGGACATTTTAAAGGAGGTAATCGAAGTAACCCTCCAATACCAGCAAATAACCTAGAAATTTGTTTGCCTCGTCCTCTGCCTCTCTATGGATGGTATTGTAGGCAATGTGAAAATGTCTCGGTTATTTTGTTCTTGTATTATATGGAGGGTTTTTTTTTGGTTTGTTAATAAGCATTTTATTGTATGGAACAAAGTGAAATTCAATTTAACGATAAAACGAGGGGAGATGTTTCATAAATAAATAAATAAAGTCAATTAATCTTGTAAATCAATTATTCATTGTGCATGCATGTGAATGGAATGTTATTCAACCGACTAAAAATAATTTAAAATATACTGTAAAATACAAATGCCCTTAAGTGATTCTTAAAAAGAATTTAGAGAGTAAAGAGAAAGCATTATTCAATTCATCTATATTTATGTCTACGTTGTTATATATTAAGATAACTATCCATGTTAATTAGAAGATGTGAAATGTCAATATTTTCTTTTTAGTATAAATACGTTGCATCAAATTTAAAATATAAAAGTAGTATGGTAACTAAACAATCATTTACGACAAATTTCTCTGTTTCACATGCATAACATATGTGGCCAATTCTTGTTTTTTTAATTCAAAAGCTTTTGTGTTATGATCGGTTGACCGTGAAAATAATATCCAAATTTTCTAATATATTATTTTTCATATAATTTATCTCAATATTGGTATTTGATCTTCATATTCTCCATATATATTTCTGTAAACCTTTATATTTAACAGATCGATTGGCTAGAAATTTTTCGATAGCTGGTCGCTTAAACTCGGAGGTAGCAGTGGATTATAGATAGGAGCCCAATGCTCGGCGATTAGTAGAGCGGTGGCGCTTAAAAATAAAGTCGGAGCCGCGGGGGTTTTGACTGGGTAGGGCCGCACGTGGGTAGGAGACAACTGTAAATATAATCCTCATATAATCCAAGGGCTGCTGAGTGCATGGGACAGAGTCACATAGAGAGAGAGAGGGAGAGGGAGAGAGGGAGAGAGAGAGAGAGAGATGTTAACCTGGAGCAAACGCCAAAATATGCAAAGGCAAACCCCCCAAAAGAGAGACAATAATTATTACCTGCTATAACCATAACTCGTACCTGCCTGCGTTATTTTATATGTCCTTTCAATCTTCCACTTTTCTCTTTTACTTGGACTCTCCCATCCCAAAAATACCATCAAACTTATTCGTCTTACAATACGAATATACGATCATGCTTGGATTGGAGTGGATCATAATTGGTCAGAATCCAAATTAGTGAAAAGCTAAATACCATTAGCAGATTTGTTTACCACACTCAAAAGTCAAAAACATTTGTAAAAATGTGTGGAATTGTAGTATGGGTGGGGTTCCTTGCTTGTATATTTTTTGTTCATGTTGCAGTTAAGACGACGTTTTTGTTTTGTTGTCAAAGTTAGAAAGGAAGAAGAGGGAAACTCAAACACGTACACACATATATCATTGGGGTATGAATCCAAGACACTTGAGAACACATCAAAAGTCTAAGTCAATCCAACTAACACTCTATTAGTAAGACGGCGTTAATTTGAAGTTCATATTTGTAGGGTTAATTTAAAGACGATTTAGCCTCAGACTAACTCTTTCTCTTACATTTAAACACCTTTTAACATTTAAAAGAGAAATATCACTGAACGGAAACCTATCCTACTCGAATCAGCATATAGCTTAAACAGCAACAAAAAAAATATAAAAAATTATCAAAAAATGATGATGGGACCCGCTGCCATGCTGGATGCATGTGGATTTGGTTGGTATATCTATCTAAATACATAAATTAGGTGACAAAATGAATGGATTCTGTATGAACCTTTAGTTGTACGCCACCAACTATTTTATGGTCTGAATGAAAATGAATCATTATTTTTCTAGTAAATCCAGACTGGCTTTGTCGTACAAAATATGCCAAAGCTTCATTGCTGATTGCTCTTTACCCTCTTTATTTATTTTGATGTATCAATGAATCTCTGCCCAAGGCCCCACTGCCCTTGGATCTTGTCTGTCTATCTTTGGCTTTACAGTTCCAAGAAATTTAGCCCTTCTTCTTAATCACCAATCCCATTCTTAATCACCTCAACTTTACCCATGTCGAAGTTTGATGCTTTTTTTATATGCTTTAAAGAAAATGTCAATGTTCTCTCATAAAAGCACTTACGAGCAGAAATGCTTCTTAAAGAAGCAAAGTCCCAAACGGGTTCATAATCACGAACATCGTAGTACTAGTTAGTCAACCATGTAGCGGTTTGGCTCTTCAATTACCTTTACTTGAAGCTTTAGGTCTGCAAAAGGTTACCAAATATCTACAATTTAGGTGAAATTAGTCATTCGATTTCAATAACTTTAATATGACACCTCCTTGTCTGCGGGAAGAAAAAGAAACAAGCATATCACATCATCCTATATCCACTTTAACAAAAATAATGGATGTTCATGGGCCAACCATTGCCATTTCACCTTTAGCATATGGGCTCTGCTCTAGCAAGCTATTTAATACCTAAATAAAAGCCCAAAGACTAATTTCCTGGGCCACCTTTTCTATGTGGTTGCACGGTTTTTCTTCAAAAATTCCCATCAATCTCAACTACAGTTATAAAAGAAGTAACCCAAAAAAAAAGGTTTTTTTCTTCGCACTTGTCTATGTACGTTACTTAAGTTTAGTCAATTTGACTGTACTTACCATGATTGATTGAGAATTTTTAATAATTTTAGAAAATTCTAAGACATGTTGC